AACTCTTGGGCTCAAGCGATTCTCCTGCCTCTGCCTCCCAAGCAGCTGGGACTACAGGTGCCCGCCACAATGCCCGGCTGTTTTTTGGTTGTAGCCGTCATTGTTGTTTGGCGGGCCCAGGCTGGATTCGAACCCACCAGCTCAGGTGTATGTGGCTGGTGCCTTAGCTGCTTGAGCCACAAGCGCGAGCCTATTTATTTATTTTTTTGTTGCAGTTTGGCCAGGGCCGGGGCTCGAACCTAACGCACTCGGCATATGGAGCTGGCACCCTACTCCCTTGAGCCATAGGCACCAACCACCCTTATCTGTATTTTTCTTACCAAGTGTATGGCTTCAACAGCCAGTTCTGCCCTTCAACTCAAACGCCATGTAGTGGTTAAGTATTTTCACTTGCTTATGGGATATTTCCATCTGGATCATTTATTATTATTTTTTTTAGTAAGGACAATTCATAAAGCATCTGTGGTGGGTACTAATTATAGTATAAGAGATACAAAGATAAAATATTTTTGTGACTCTGAAGAGTTTTCACTTTTTATTTATTTATTTAGAGTTAGGGTCTTGCTTTGTTGCCCATTGCTGGAGCAATGGCATGAACATACCTCACTGTAATCTCCATCTCCTAGGCTCAAGCGATTCTCTGGCCTCAGCTTCCTGAGTAGCTAGGACTACAGGCATGTGCCACTACCCCTGGCTAATTTTTACATTTATTATAGGGAAGAAGTCTCATTATGTTGCTCAGGTTGGTCTGGAACTCCTAACCTGAAGTGAACCTCTTGCCTTGGCCTCCTAAAGTGCCGAGATTACAGGCATGAGCAACTGCACCTAGCCATCTTTCACTTTAATAGTAACATGATAGGTATATGAAATTCAGAGAACATAAAACTCATCAGATTCCCACAGGGCCTAGGCAAGTAATAAATATAAATGAAGCATAGTAATTAGATGTAGTGATAGGGAGAAAATAGGTGATGAGATCTTTGGAGGAAATTACTACAGTTTCTTTTTCTTTCTTTCTTTTTTTTTTTTTTTTGAGACAGTCTCACTCTGTTGCTTGGGTGAGTGCAATGGTGTCATCATAGCTCACAGCAACCTTTAGCTCTTGGACTCAAGTGATCCTACTGCCTCAGGGTCCTGAATAGCTGGGACTACAGGTGTGTGCCACCACACCCGACTAATTTTCTATTTTTTTATAGAGACAGGGTGTTGCTCGTGGTCAGACTGGTCTCAGATTCCTGACCTCAAACCTGTGCTTCCACCTCAGTCTCCCAGAGCCCTAGGTTTATAGAAGTGAGCCACCATGCTGGGCTTACTATAGTAATTTTTTTTGTGAAATCTATGGATTTCAAAATATTGGCAACTGATTCAAATAATTTTAAAATACTTCAACTGTGCAGGCCAAATACACAT